GGCGGGATGATTCATGCCTCTTTCTGTGGTCATTCCTTGTTGGTCTTGGTCCGCACTTGGCACGTACGTTACCTCTTCTTCCACGTGCCATTCCGACTGGTTTGATCCGATCGCGGCGCGAGATCCGTTGCTCGACAGCTCCGACGTTGTGGCATTCGGTGGATATCTTTCCCGTTAGCTGCGGATTGTCTGTCGGGCTGTAATTGTCAATTCACTCGTTTCGGGTAGCAGTCAACATTGTCTCGCGAGGCACTTCGCGCCGCTGCGTCTGCGCGTCTGGTCGGATGAGCCCTATTCTTGATTCGTTTGCTAGCCAGGACTCTCTTTGTACCGCCTTCCATCACAATATGACTGAATGTCGTAAACACCGGTGCTCGTACATCTACTCATTATATTTCCACTCTTCGTCGAACGGAATTCTCTATTTATCTTTGATTGTGCCTTTAATTTCCCAATCTTTCTTTTATCCCTTCATTGAAATGGGCAACAAAAAGACAGCAAACAAAACCGCAGCATCAAAATGGTTAATGAATGATTGAACAAACTGAACTGAAGTAAACTGATTAGTGGTCTCATCGGTATCGGCTTATCCATTCAAATATACGCACCCCTAATGGGATCTGACAAATAGTCGTGGCTTGCGGGACAATGGAGAATACAATCTTCATTCAACTGGTGTATCTGATCCATTTGTAGGTCAACTTGGTTCATCTGAATTCTCTGTTTATCACTTTGATATTGGTTTTAAACTTTCTACTACACACCCGTACTTCTTCATACAAATGCGCAGGTAAAACGCAGCAACCAAAAGCGCCGCACTACACAAAAGTTACTGGATGTTTAAATGAAAACTGACCAACGGTTCATCAAAAAAGTTTTAATCTCGTATTTTCGATTAACGATCAAAAGTACTCTCGAACCAGTTCTAGCGATGGAATCTTGTTAGCTCAGTCATGGCCGTTGCTTTGACCATCTTCAGTCCCAACAGTCCATCCATTCGTGTTTCGATGAATTTTCCCGATAAGATGAATTTATAAATGTTTCAGAATTTGGTGCATTGCATTTGCGCGCTGCAGAGCATTGAAGAAAGCTACCACCCTAAAGTACCAAACACTAAAATGTGATCAGATGGAATTTTCCTCCCCTGTTCTCACTGTGTTCGACTCGGTTCGCCGTTGAACTGATGCGAGGGTTAAGAGTGGGCGAGGAGGAGGTTGTCCTTTCGTTCGGATTGCGGGTTCCGTCCGTTTTCAGATCACGGTGTGACCTTTTTTGTTGCGTCATTTGATCCATGGGTTGCATTGGAGTGTACACGTGATCCAGTTCGATGTGCCTGTTAATTGAGTGGATTGAAGAATGCCAGACCTCGAGAAATTCTCTGGCGTGTTTTGACCGGGCTTGGTCGATAATTCTCACTGATTCGAAGTCGAATTGATGTCCTTCTTGATCTTCATGGAGGGAGATCAACAATAGCGGATCATGTCTCCTGACTGCTAATTAGTATTCACGGATCCTTGTGGACGGTTTTATCCCAGTTTGTCCGATATAGTGTTTTGAACAGTTCTTGCAGTTTATTTTGTAGACGACGCTGCTTTTGTCCTTCTCTATTGTTCCCCCTTCAGTTTTGACAGAATTCTCCTTAAACAGGCGATCAGTTTGTGGGTGACTTGGATTTCATATGTTTTGAGCAGTCTTGCTGTCATTTCCCAAACGTCCTTGATGTAAGACAGGGTCGTTCTTGTTATGGAGTCTCCGCCTGTTGTTTACCTCGTTCTTTGAGCCAGAGTTCTTTTGATGAAGTCGCGGGGATAGCGGTTGCGAACAAACACTTTGAGAAGGTATCTTCCTTCCTTCTTCTTGAGTATGTCGGTGCTGCAGTGCGTTTGGATTCTTCCGAACAGGGTTTTAACACAGCATCTTTTGTGACTGTGTGGATGATTACTTTTGGGGTGTAGGATTTGATCCGTATATGTTGCCTTGCGGTAGACCGTTGTCTCCAGTTTTCCTGATGGGGTTCTGATGATCAAAATGTCCAAAAATGCCAGTTGTTTATCCATCTCGGTCTCCATTATGAACTTGATGCCATTAGATGTGCTATTGCTAATGTTATATGCTCGTTCTAGTTTCGACTTCTTCAAGATGACGAATGTGTCATCAACGTATCGGAGCCAAATTTTTGGCATGATTCTTGGTAGTGCCTTGTTCTCCAGCTTGTGTATTACGGCTTCGGTTATGAATCCAGAAATTGGCGATCCCGTTGGTGTTCCTTTCAGCTGTTCGTAGATTTCACCCTCGAATTTGAAGTACGTCTGCATGCATAGTTCCATGAGTTCGCAAATGGCAGCTGGTTCCGTTAGTGTGTTTGGTGGGCGATCAGTTATCGGTTCCCGCAATGTGGATCGTTCCAGGTCCAAGTCGATCGAAGTAAACAAAGCGGTGACATCGAACAAGACCATTATTTCGTCTTCTTGGATGTTGGCAGTTTTGAGCTTGTCCAGGAACTGTCTTGAATTCATGACGCACACGTTGCATCACCGGCCGAGGTGACATCATCAGTGCTTGTGAAGTGGCAGTATTCTGCTTGTACCCGTTCGTTTATATATCATGAAATGGAATTCAGTTCACCCGAACTACGAGAACCCAATTTTCAATATTCGCATAGTTATCTGAGGTTGAGCACACACCCCTTATTTGGTTTACCTGTTTCGGGAGGAAATTGAATAGAGGACAGTTTGAAATGGTCAAACAAGAAGGTTGCGAATTATCCACAATATATACTCACACGAAGATCAAAAGGTGCAAAAGATGTCACACATCTTGTCCGAAATAAATTGCGGCAACTATGAGATCGTTTCAGTTCGCTTCGTGATATTTTTCGGGGGTAAGTTGGTTCTGTATGAAACGAATCCCAGATGTTTTAAAAAACATTTTTCCTATCTTTCTCTGTGTCTCGAGGATTTCCGAATCAACCTTTTGAGTAAGTTCATTAGGTCATCATCATCGAAGACAGGCGGCTAACCGGAGAGATAGAGAAGTTCAGTTGTAGCTGTGTAAAAGTTCGATGGGTGATTGTGATGCTTCCAGAGAAAAATCCTTCCGCTGATTTGGGCGTAACAATCTTGACTACATTTGTTTAGTCGAAGAGCTATTTCGGGGCATCTTACGGGGTTGCTCAAAGATACGTTGCGTTTCACGATCCAACCATGCCTTAGCGATAAAGACAATAATGTATAAGGAGTTGTTCACGAAACTCTGAGCTGACAGACTGTCCAATTCCTGGGACATCTTCTACCCATTTGATTTCTAACACGTATCTAAAGTTTCCCTGTGATTCAAAGAAGTTGAGGCCATTATCGACGGTCGTTCCTCCGCAAACCGATCAACAAGTCGGCTTCGTCAGGTTGAGAATAACCGAAGCCTAAAACATCAATGAGACCGCACAGGATATGCAACAGCAGCTTTTCCTTGATTAGTGAACGAGACTGACAGATATAAAGGAACTTCGTCAAACGGGTAAGATTGTTTGGGTGTCCGGATTGCATCCCAAAATGGTTGAATGGTGAACGAGCTCTGAACAAGCCTCCGGCAACCATGCAATGCTGTCTCATGGTAAATATTCGATTGTGGAAAAGTGCAGCATTAAAATAGAAGGCCAATTGAGGCTGGGATGTCTTTTATACCAACCCCAAAAGAAACTATTGTGATCATTCATTCATAAAGTAGGCTTCCTCAATGAGCCAGTTGTGATGGGATAAAGTACACCATATAATACGAGAATAAATTTGTCAGTGTTAAAGTTTAAGTTTAAGGACAAATAATGAGGCAGAATGTTTTGTCAAGGAAAACAAAAAATCCCTGATAATTATATTTTTTTAGGACTGACGAACAGAAAACAAACGCATCTACCGTTTGTCATACAGAAAAAACGCATTAAACAATCTATATTCAATCGAATTTTCGCCGCTCAGATTCCACATGCGAACCATGGTCTCTGGACTCGGATTTTATCGGTACCGGGATCGGTTTAGATACGGATTCCGTGTCCACCTTGACACTCCGCTTGCCACGCGGGTTCGTTCTGTCCGAGGAGTCATTTGTTTGGGATCCGTGGTCTCAGGTCACATTCATTCCACCGATCCCGAACACCTATCTGTCCGTGGAGTTTGAAGTTCACTGTCAGTTCGGTTGCGAGTTCCAACTCAGACAGGCAAGTGTCTAACTGTTGCTCTCAATCATTTCTGACTACGCGAATTGGCCATTTGGTATCAAATACGATCAGCTGTGTATGGTTTTACCAATCACGGTGAAAAAAGGCATTCCACGTGGTGCTCACTAGCCAAAATGCGATAAAGGAAACAAATTGAGGATGTGGCATGGAACGAGATTCGATTTCACTCTAAACTAGGAAGTTAAGTCATGGGTTGAATAAAATACCGGGTAGTCCGAATATGCGCACATATATAATTTTTGAAAATGTGAAATTATGACAGCAACAAGCTAGGATAGTCATGAAATCGCATTGTATTTTAATGAGATACTACATTTAGCATCATTTGTTTGTTTTATCCAATTGGATTTCTTTTAGTTCCCGCAAGGGTCACAGTAATAGTGCACACCACTGATAAATCCGAGCAGTTGTACTGTGCTCATTATCACCTAGTACAATGATTTCCATTAAAAATAAAATACACCACAGTGTTTATTTCTGCTCTGCCTCATCTCATGTGTTCAGCACTTATATATTTTTATTAAATCGAAAACTGTACTGATAGCTTTTGGGAAAGATTTAAAGTCAGTTCTGTGAGGGTTGCCGAAGAACGCGAAGAATTGTGACAATCGAATGACGGGATCCGAATACATACCTTCTTGCGACAATGGTCATCACAACGAGACTGTACCTTGACGTGGTATGATGGCTTGTGCACCTCTCTACACAGGATAGCTTTTGTCAAGCGTGGAGATCATATCATGCAAGGAAGGTCAATGGGTAGAGATCAAACGAAGTCCAGTCTCCTGGTCCTGGGGATTCGACTGGAATTTGCTTTACAATCGGTAAAAAGGGTGGAGGAGTAATCGATCCAATTTAATGGGTATCCATTTCACTCCACCCGCTGCTTGCGGTTAGGTTCTTGTTAGAACTCAAGGCTATGGAAGAGAACCCTCATCATTCTCCTGCTTACTGACTGGACACCCTGGCAGTACCCGAGCATCAAACCTCAATGCATACACAAACTTAAAATAATTCCATACTGCATCGGTCATCGCGCAGGATAATCAGGACCTCGCTGCCACTTGCATCGAGCGGGATAAGTAGTGATAAGTGAACCACTGCTCAGATTTCCCAACCTTTGTTTAATTCTTTGTCTTCAGCACTAAGCCCACTCCATTTTCTCCTCCTTCCAACCTTTAATAGTCCCTCAGGCAACTTGGATGTCGCTCGCAAAAGGTCGTTTCCAAATAATATTGTAACTAATGTACCACGAAGTAAATTGCAGATTCTAAAGCCTCGTCAATCACTAAATTTGGCTGCCTTCAACGTGAGGACTCTGATGCAGGTAGGTTAATAAGCTTGTCTGGCGCGTACAATGGAATCCTTAGGAATCGATATTTTCTGCGTTTCGGAGACTTAAATCCAGGATCCTACTACCATAAGCCACTTAAATCCGCCAGATTTGTCCTCGAGATACGTTCTTCGCACATCAGGTGATGATGAAGCTCGTTCAGTAGGTCAGCGCGGGGTAGGTACTGTACTCAGTAACAGGGTGGAGTCCTCTCTTATCGTTTGGATCCCCATCAACAGTCGTTTATGTGCAGTGCGTCTCCAGGGTTCAATCAGCATCTGAAAGGGAAGCAACACCAAAAGGTGTTTGTTCATGTATCGGCATACACACCGACCAATTGCAGCTCTGATAACCAGAAGGACGTTTCTACGATGAACCCATCGATCTCATGCGGCTGAGTAGAAGCTCTGACATAGTTGCACTTGCAGGTGACTTTAACGCGCAAGTTGGAAAACTGAGCACATCATAAGCTTGCCTAGGCGGAATTTGTGCTCTACCCTGCCAATGAACAGATAACGGTGATCGACTTCTTCATTTTTTCGCGGATCATCATCTGTTCCTATCTAGCACCAACTTCCGACGGACGGCAACGTGGCGCTCCAGTTCAACTGGTACGCTAACTCAAATGGACCACATAGCAGTAAGTTACCATTGGCATAGCTCAGTGCAAAATTGCAGGTCTTTTTGGACCACCTGCGTTGAGTCTGATCACGCATTAGTTTTAATGCAATTCACTCTTCGACCGACTGGCCGGCGACGAATTCAGCAAACTCGGATGGCTCATCATCGACTATCTGTTCCAGCACTTTGTGCACACCATGAAACAGAGCTAGTGCGTGGGCTAAAGGCGCCTCTACATGATGATGCAGATGAACAGTGGGATCAGATTGGGCGAGCAATGCATTGGGCAGCGAATGTTGCTCGTAGGTCTGAGCCTCAAGCCCGTCGGAGGTATTGGATATTTCAGGAGTCAGTAGCCCTGATGGATAAAAAGCGACATATCTCGAACTGCTATGATCAAAACAAAGTTAGGTGGCATCTATAAAGTCAGCTTAAGAGGAGCTTCAAGAAAGACAACAATAGCTAGTGAAATGGAAATAACAGCCAAATCAGGGAATAGTCAAAGACTGTTCCGACCGAGTCGCAATACGGGAGGCCGACGAACTCCAGTTAGTGAAACAGTCTACGATAAGAGGAGACAAGCTATTCACAATAGGGACCAACGACTTGATCGCTGGGGGAAATAATTCAGCGAACAATTGGACCGGCCTGGCGCTAGCCAGAGCACTTCATCTGTGACTGATGCTCCTTGGACAGTGTCATGCGATCCTCTAACGAAAGCAGAAGTTCGGTCTTGCATTCAGGCTCTGAAGCGAGGAAAGGCAGCAGGATCGGATGAGCTCCCTCACACTCTTTTCAAGATGGAAGGTGATAACCTCGTAAGCTGTATTACTGCCTTACTGTGCAACATTTGGAGGCAAGAACGCATTCCCTCATCTTGGGGCGAATCACTGATCGTTCCCATTTTCAAGAAAGGATCTCGCAGTAATTGCGAAAACCACTGCTGGATCGGTTTGATCTCGATCGTCGCCAAAGTGCTAGCCTCGGTCATACTTCGACGTCCGACGCCTTTAGGAGAGAGCAACATCTGTGAACAGCAAGCCGGATTCCGGTCTGGCCGTGGATGCATTGATCAAATTGTACGTTGAGTCAGGTTCTTGAGCGGCGTCACACCCACCGTTGACCAACGATCGCAGCGTTCCTTGACCTGAAAGGAGCCTTCCACTCAGTTAACCGCGAAGCTCTGATAGGCTCCCTTCTCCGAAAAGGAATGCCCCAGAAATACGGTTACTTACTGAGGTCACTGTACTCGCATACCTCTGGTCGTGTAAGAGTTTACAACGAACTAAGTGGGCTATTCGCCACCAGCAGCGGCGTTCGTCAAGAATGCCCCCTTTTGCCGTTCCTGTTCAATTTCTTCGTAGACGAAATACAGGAGGACGCACTTAGTGGTCTCCAAAACGTAGGTATTGAATGGGCAGATGGAGAAAAGCTGTGCGGTTTGAAATACACCGATAACATTGTCGATGTATGGAGGACGCGCAAAGCACACTTGATACACTAAGAAGCGCAGTTTCCATATTCGGTATGTGCTTTGCACCTTCAAATTGCAAAGTGATGCTGCAGTGCTGGGTTTCGCCTACTCCCGCTCTGAAAATAAATCGTCAGGAATTAGTTATTGTGGATTACTTTTCTTACTTAGGTATGCACGTAACCAATGAGATAACCTCCCGCATTTCTAAGGCTAGAACAGCATACGCAAGACTGAAACACCTTTGGCGTAAATGCGACGTTTCAATGAAGTTGAAAGGTAGTGTATATTGTGCTAGAATTCCTTCAGTTCTGCCTTATGGTTGTGAGACCCTGAATTTTCTAGTGGAAGATATTCAACGACTAGAGGTTTTTGATTATCGGTGGTTACGCAGTTTATCCGACGTTGGATGGAGTGAACGAGTTATTAACGTGGAGGTAAGCTGTCATGTATTTGGGAGTCTGTCAGGTATAAACCTGCTAGCACACCGAATTAAGATTACTAGGCTTCGCTGGCTAGGGCACGTGTTGCGTATTCCCAGTCAACGTCTGCCTCACCGCGCTTTATTCACTGTAGCTAATCCGGGCTGGAGGAAACCACGTGGAGGTNAACAGATGAGGTGGAGACGAGGCATGAAGAAATGCACAGAGCCATTAGATAGAGTAGGTGTCTCGTGCCCTCCAGGTAGGGGTCCGAAAGACTCCGCAACTGATTGATTGAAGATGTTGAAGGGTATGGCAGCCGACCGACAGCAGTGACGTTATTGTTGTCATTTCTTATCAGGCCAGAACGCTTGAAACGGTATGTATACAGAGTTCTATTTTGTACTCTGTGTGTCGACCGTAGTAGTTCACCTTCTTCTCCCTCCCTCAAAATAAATCCAATCCCTGTCCACCTTAAGTTTTACCACTAACCTTGTATGCATTGCGAGTTTGGCAGCGATCAATGAAGTTCACCTCACTGTATTTCGCTGCACGATGATACTGATGATGTAAGAGGAATCTGAAAACAGTAGCGCCTCTCAGTTTTTAGACTTTTCTTTCCACTCTATCTCTTAGGTTCCCATCAGTCATATCAAGCTCATCTGTGATTTGAAAGAGTTGGGAGGTGCACTAGCGAACTTGCCCTGCCAAACCGGTAGGCAATCGGGCTAAACTAGATCGACTATCTGTCCTGCTCCCATCACATCCTCCAGCACTACCGCTAATCGTCCGCAGCTGCTCGTCTAATGAGTACCGATTCACATAATTCACGGTTAACCACCGTAATTGATACAGATCCTCGTATCTGCAACTTGAGGACGCACCCGGTAGCAGACAGCTCCGCGTTCGGTCCGGTTAGGGCCACTGAATGATGGGACGAAGTGTTTTTTGTGCATCGGTTCAATTTCTACATTGATCTATTTCCCTTGCCCCTTTGTTTTGACCATGGCTCATGTTTTCAACCTTTCCATTTATTCCTTCCTCATTAGTCCACTAAGTAGGTAGGCAAAAACTGGCAACGAAACCTCTTCGCGCCACAGTGCAAGGCTGGTGATTATTAGCACTGGAGGATGTGATTACCGGC